AGAGTGTGAAAGAATGGAGCCGACTGGGTGAACAGTAAATAGCTCGGCATAATTTCCCTTTAACAAATGCCTCGGGTACAGCCCTTACGCCTCAAGCATCCGAATCATTCCTGATTAATTTACAGAAATAAGATTTCGACTTCACTTAGGGAATCCATCCACACGGTTAATTCTAGCTATATTAAAAGTGTGAAAGATATAAATCCAGTTCCAATAGATCTCGAATGTAATTTGCTCGATATTTAAAAAAAAAACACTTTTCACTGTTGTGTGTGGCAAGGTCTACCAGGTCGATTGATCGTATCGGATTCAGTTGACATTGAGGCCACAGGGTGTGGTTCATTATAACGTACCCAGTGGCGTGTCACACAGGTTTGCAGATTATTTACTGGTTCACGCCCCTCTCTGCCATCGAATTTTATCAGACTATTCCTATGTACCGCTTTCATAATCAATGTATATGATAGATCGCCAAAATATTAAATGAAAACGGTTTCTGAATTTTAGAATTGCTGCAGTAAGGGAGATGTAACAAGGAACTCAGGTTCCCTTTGCTGTTCCCTGCCAAGTAACGTTAGAATTTGGTGGTTGGCAATCCTGCTTCGTATTCAGGAGGTTCATGCTTTGTGACTCAGATCTGATATCCGCTATCCAGAGTTTATTTCGCGTTTCTCTCAGCTCCTCAAGGCAAATCCTGGGATCGATCCTTAAGATAGGTCAAAACCGCATAGTTTCACACACTACTGAAGTACACATTGTGTTTCACTCCTAATAATGAAATAAATTCACCACCCACACTCATATGCCTACTGCCATTCGGCATTGGATATTATAGGTTTTAATCCTTCTGTGCAGTTTGATAAGCGTCAACCGTAATTAAACAGTTAAAACTTCCTTGGAAGAGACTAGTGCAGTTCATCAACATGTATGTTTCAACTATCATGGATTGGAGACCCTGGTATCTTCGGATTCATTAAGACATCTGGCAAGTTTCCTTTGATGTGGAATCAGTCAATCGCAAGGCCTGTACATAGCGCTATTCACCCCTCTAAAAGCATGTTTGGCAATATCCTCACTCTAGGTCGAAACACACAGTGCACCGGCAGATGTGTAACTTCTGACTTTGGAAGGTTTGTTGGTGTGCATTACATGTTTACCGGAATGCGTGCTGACATGTACCGTCCTAAAAAACACTCCTCGAAACACGCAGAAAGACCAACCTCTTCTCTCATCGAAGAGGAGGCCCCATTTCCGAACAAAATTTGGTAGTGAGTCCCAACGAAGCCCGAAACCAAAAACAAATGCGAATATGTTTGTGGGTGCCAGCAATAATTTACTGTTATTCTATGCCTCGAGCGGTATTTGAACTCGGAAACTTAGAGATTTAGTTGCCCAAGAACGTAGAGCAGTATTCACTTTAATGAAGGAGGGAGAATACAGATTTCGGATTATAAGTGCTTTTCTGTAAGTTCACAAAGTTGTGCTGCTATGGTAACGATATCATAAAACGGGTTAGACTCTATTTGAGCACCGGGTTGTAAGGAAGAGAAAGTTGTTCGCCATGTTGTGAAAGCCAGTCGAGGCCACTCTCAGACACAGCTGACTACCCAATGTTACTTCCATTGCTCCAGTATTATTAAGGCCTGTGTGTTCTTTGAACGACTGAATAGTTTGTGGAAATGTTGTGTCTTCCAAAATACCGAACTAATTTTAATTAAATCTGGCTACAGATCCAGAGGTCCAGGTTCGACTCCCGGCGCTACCAGATTTTTTTCTTTCGGAGAAGTAGTGGGTCTGGAACGAGGTCCACTCAGCCTCGTGATGATAATTGAGGAGCTATTTCAACAAAATATCGTCTCCGGTCTATAAAACCGAAATTAACGGAAGTGGGGATTGGTTGCGGTGACCACGCGACAC